AATATCATGTTTGCTGACTGGGAACAGTTGTGGACTACAGGTATGAAATTTACGGCATGCAATGTTCTAAGAGAGAATATTATGAAAATGATATACAGGTGGTACATGATACCAGTCAAGCTTGCAAAAATCTATCATTTGCCCGATAATAAATATTGGAAATGTAAAGAAAACGAAGGTACATTCTTTCACCTTTGGTGGACGTGCCCAAAGATTAAGGCTTTCTGGGAGATGATCTATAATGAATTGAAAAAAGTATTTAAATATACTTTCTTGAAGAAACCAGAGGCCTTTCTGTTGGGCATAGTCAGCCAATTGGTGCCAAAGAAGGATAGAACTTTCTTTATGTATGCCACAACAGCAGCAAGAATACTTATTGCAAAGTATTGGAAGACACGAGACCTACCCACCCTGGAAGAATGGCAGATGAAGGTGATGGACTATATGGAATTGGCGGAAATGACTGGCAGAATTCGAGACCAGGGAGAAGAGTTGGTGGGAGAAGATTGGAAAAAGTTCAAAGACTATTTACAGAAACATTGTAAAATTGATGAATGTTAGAATGATGTTGGATAGAAACTAAGTGGCTTTTAGCTGTAATGCTATAAGGGAATATGAAAAAATGGACTATTAATAGGTAAAAATTTAATGTTACAATACTTTAAGATCGATGACTAGGATAAACAAAGAGGGGAGGGATTTGCTAAACTAACAATTGAAGTGGAATACAGAAAAGGGAGGCGTGAGGAGGTCTGGGAAACAAGCAAATGAAAGATAAGTGATTGAAAGACTGAATTGTTTTTAACTATTTTTATTTTGTATTTTTCTTTTTTCTTTTTCTATTTTGTAATATTTTGAAAATCCTAATAAATATCTGTGATGGGATGATGAGCTGCTTGTGCGTAAAATCGTATCCCCTCAGAGTTTGTTCAAGTCCACAAACCTCTGTCTGTGACGGAGCCCCTCAGACATGGCTACTCTAGTCACTAGCAGATTCCGACAGTGGTTGCTTTCGTAATCGCTTCCAACATAAAAGCTCCTTAACGGAAACACGTCTTCTGGAATCTCTGCGTGACAGTTTCCGGCGAGGAGTGGGTGTTCTTACAGGAGGTCCTGAAACTTCCCCACTGTTTTCGCTGGAAGTGTCTCTGAGCCATCCCTCCAGCTCAGCTCCTCTCCCCTGCTGGTTCCCTCTTCAGCTGCTGCGTCTCTCCCAACCTGTGTGAGCCCTTTCACCTCCCTGTTGGTTCCCTCTTCAGCTGCTGCGTCTCTCCCAACCTGTGTGAGCCCTTTCACCTCCCTTCCGTCCGATGGCAGTTCCCTGACATCCACCTCCCCTCCAGGGCCCCCTTCACCCCCTCGCCCCCTCCTCTACGGGCGGTGAGGAGGCAAAACCCGGAATGAACTTCCTTCATCTTCCGATGTCTCGAACACTTCTCTCAACCTGTTGCGGTTCCTGGTCTCGAAGTACACCTCCTCCTCAGAGTCCATCTCCCTTCCCCTTCCGAGTCCGGGAATCCTTCCAACTCCTCCCCTTCATCAGTGGTCCCAAAGTATTCCCTCCGGAACCTCTCCACAGGCTGAGGTTTCCTTGGGAACCTTTGATGGAACGTTTCTATCAATACCTCGTCATTGATATCTTCAGCCATTACCCAAGTGTTTTCTGACTCCGGTTCTCCTTCCCACGCTACCAAATACTCCACCTGATTCCCCTTCCACCTGGCGTCGAGGATTTCTGCCACATGGCTGCTGCATTCTCTTTCTTCTACGACCGGTCCCCGAGTGGCCAGCCCTTCTCGTCCCCCTTCGTACGGTGACAGTAACGACCTGTGAAATACTGGGTGCAGTTTCATGTGGTTGGGTAACCGGAGCCTGAAAGCCACTGGGTTGACCTGTTGAATGACCTCAAAGGGACCCAACCTCCTGGGTCTTAATTTCTTACAACCTCCTTTGAACGGCAACCCTTGGGTTGACAGCCACACCCTATCTCCCACCCTTATGGTTTCACCTTCCCTTCGGTTCTTGTCTGCCTGCCTCTTGTATTCTTCCTTCGCCCTTTCTAAGTTGAGTTGGAGCTGACGATGGATTGCTTCCATTTCTTCCACAAAATGCTCGGCTGCCGGGACGCTCCATCTCTCCCCTCTCCCCTGGGAAAGCCCTGGGATGACACCCATAATTAGCCAAGAAGGGGCTCATCCCTGTGGACACATTCTCGGCATTGTTGTAGGCAAATTCCGCCAGCGCCAACTTTTCTACCCAGTCATTCTCTCTGTCATTGACATAACACCTTAGGTATTGCTGGAGGACACCGTTTGCTCTTTCCGCCTGCCCGTTGGTTTCAGGGTGCCGGGCAGTCGAAAAATTGACCTCCACCTGCAGTAAGCTCATGAGCTTCCTCCAGAACCTGGAAGTAAATTGTTTTCCTCGGTCTGAGACCACCCTCAATGGCATCCCGTGCAACCTAAAAATGTTTTCTACAAATAACTTCGCTGTCTCTTCCGCCGTGACTGCATGCGAGCAAGCTACAAAGTGGCACATCTTTGTTAGTAGGTCTACCACCACCATGATGGCTGTTTTCCCTTTGGACTTCGGCAGATCAGTCATAAAATCTATCGACACTGCCTCCCAAGGTCGTTCTGGGGTTGGTAAGGGTTCTAATAGCCCCGCCGGCGCCCGCCTTTCCCCTTTGGCTCGCTGGCATTGCTCGCACCCTCTTACATACTCACGTACATCTTCCCTCACCTTAGGCCACCAAAATTCCCTGGTGACCAACCACATGGTTTTGTGTTGTCCAAAATGCCCCGCCGTAGGGCTGTCGTGCAACTGCTTGAGTACCCTCCCCTTAACTCTCCTTCAGGGATATACAGTGCCCCTTTGTAATACAAAGCTCCATTTCTTTCCTCAAAACCGCTGGTTCCTCTCCATCACCCCTAAGACCTCTGAGCTTATTCTGGGCGTATTCATCATTCTCTGTTTCCTCTACCAGTTCTCTTTGTCCCACCAATGCCGCCCCACACACCCAGCGGTCTTCTGGAATGACATGTCTCTCTTCGGGTGCCCCCTCCCCTTCCAAATATTCAGGTTTGCGTGAGAGAGCGTCCGCCCTAATGTTCTCTGGGCCTGGCACGTAACTAATCTCAAAGTTAAATTTGGAGAACTCCTGGGCCCATCTCACTTGCCGTTGGTTGAGCACTCGTGCCGTCCTCCAATACTCTAGGTTCTTGTGGTCAGTGCACACTTGCACCTTATGTTGTGCGCCAATTAGCAGGTGCCTCCATCTCCGGAACGCCTCATGAATGGCTAGTAGTTCTCGGTCATACACCGTGTAGTTCCTCTCGGATTTGTTCAGCTTTCGCGAAAAAAGGCACACGGTCTCCACTCTGACCCCTTCTTGCCTGGCTGCAGAAGCACCGCCCCAATCGCTCTGTCTGATGCGTCAGTTTCCACTCTCATCGGTTTTTGTAAATCCACATGCAGGAGTTGTTGTTCCGAGGCGAAGGCCCTTTTAGTTCCTCAAATGCTCGCTCCGCCTCCTCAGTCCACACGAACTTCTTCTTACTGCTGAGACAGTCCGTAATGGGCGCCGTCAGGTGGGCAAAGTTTCGGATGAACTTACGATAGAAGTTCCCAAATCCTAGGAACCTCTGCACATCCTTCTTTGTTTTGGGTGTTTTCCATTCCAGCACCGCCTGGACCTTGCCGGGATCCATGGCCAATCCCTTGTCTGACAGGCGATACCCCAGGAATTCCACCTCCTTGGTATGAAACTGACACTTCTCCAGTTTCACCCACAGCTGGTTGGCTTGCAGCCTGCTCAACACTTCTCTGACGTCTCTCACATGCTGCTCCTCATTCTCAGAATACACCAACACGTCGTCTAAAAAGGCCACACAATTCTTGTAAAGCAAAGGCCCCAGGACGTGGTTCATAAACGATTGAAATGTTGCGGAGCCTGCTTGTAGGCCGAAGGGCATAACCAAATATTCAAATGCCCCTAAAGGGGTGAACATAGTGGTTTTCCATTCATCCCCCTTCCTTATTCGTACCAGGTTGTACGCCCCCCTTAGGTCCAGCTTTGTGAAAATCTTTCCCTTCCGCACCCTTGTCAAAATGTCGTCAATCCTGGGCATAGGGAAGGCTACTGGTTCTGACACTGCATTTAAGGCCCTGAAGTCACACACCAGCCTCGGCTTGTTCGTGTTTTTCTTATCCACAAAAACACTGGGCTGCCCCCACCGCCCTGGACTCTCTGATGAACCCTCTCTTCAGGTTCTTGTCAATGAACTCTCTTAACTCCTGCATCTCTCTGTCTGACATGGCGTACAGCTTGCCTACAGGGAGCTGTGCTCCAGGGAGTAAGTTGATTTGACAGTCAAAGGGTCTATGCGGGGGGTAGTTGGTCAGCTTCCCTTTCGCTGAAGACGTCACGGAGATCTGCATATTGTCGTGGTACCTTCACGTTCTCTGTTACTTCAGTCCCTGCTAGGGTGGCTTGG